CCAGGGTTTTGACCAATAGCCATCTGAGAGGGATCAGATCTATACGTAATTTGATGGGAAATTAGTAATTATTATACGTAATTTGATGGAAAATTTGCTGATATCATGGTGATTTTCCATGGGATTGAATGGCGATGAAAAACCACAGGGACTGGGTGACTGGTGATTTTTGCTTGGAGTTAATGGGAAATGATGATGATTTAAATGGGATTCAATGGAATTTACCATTTGGTGATGTCACGTAGCTATCGTGTAGATGGTCCATTTATGGATGATTTACCGTTTTTCCCCCTATAAACAAAGCGTTATTTTCCGTGGCTGTGTTAAATACCCAGAGGGTATGATGATGATTTACATGATTTACTACATATAATTGGGATTTTTTTATAGGATATGAGTGGGATATGAATGGATGGGATGTAGATTAATCTATAGGATTTCCTGGATTTGTTGAAGATTTGGCTTGTTTCCTAGGGGATATGATTTGATTTTTTGGAGGTTGCTTTAACAAACCCAAGTATAATTGGAGATTAATGGAAAAACAATGGATTAGTGGATGCAGAACCAAACAGATAAAATTCAGCAAATTATTATAGATTCGGACTTTACGCTTCCATGTTTTGGGGCTTGTACACAAAATCCTACAACCTTATCCCCGGATCATATTAGATATGCCCAATGTTTGGTCCACCAAATGAATAGGTCTAATACTAAGCTCGGGGTTTCTTTTGGGGGGGTGTTAGGAGATGAGATGAGTTTATCATTCCCATGGGCAGATCGAAGGAGTTCCACAATGCGTGTGCTAACTTTCACCTTTCTTTCCAGAAGACTGTCAGAGGACATGTGTTTCATTGCTCAATCTTATAAAAATGGTTCCATGCTGTAATATACTGTAAATTGAAGCCACATATATGCGTCGTTGAACGACCATTTTGGGTGCTCTGTGGACTCGGTAAGGCGCTCAATTTGAAACGTGTTGAAACTGTGCAGCTATGTAGACCTCCCAACCTCAGTGATTAAGCTAGTTCGTCCCTTGGTAGAGGAAGGCCATTGATATGTGTTGTTTCTTCTTGGAAACTGGTGAACAACCAGAAATCATATTTCTGCCCACGTTGTACCGTTGTACCCTCTGGTAGTTTCACAGTAGCATAATAGCTATGTAATAGCCATGGAACATAGCATTGTTCAAAAAAACAAATAAGTGTAATTTTCCACACCTGTGTCAAAATAGAGGATACTATTTTCCTTAATCGATGGTACATATATATATATATATATATATACATGTATGGTACCTATTCCAACTTCGCAGGAGTCGGCCGCCGTTTGGCAGTCAAACAAACTCAAAAACCTTGCCCACAACACAGCTGCCCAATCTGTTGAGACATGATCATTGCCATCATTTTGTGCATGGAAAAAATCGTGCTTCCTTCCCTCCCCAGCCCGAAGTGAAACTTTGCTTTTGATCACGCCAAGCCCTCCATGGTGCTTTTCAGCCTGCCTGGTGGAGCCCAGGAACCGCCAAGCCAAAGTGGATGTGGAGCCCAATGCCACCAGCCTCATCATCAAGGCCTTGAAGGAGCCCTTGCGCGAGCCTTGGCCCATGGATCCATGGATTCGGCGGGGTGGGGTGGCATTGTGTTTTGTGAAAGAAATGGGAGGCCCTACAAAAAACAACAATTGTCATATGTATATATATATAATATATATATATATTTGTATTATATATATATATATTTGTATTATATATATATATATGTGTGTGTGTTTGTGTGTGTGTTACATATGTGGTTCTTTTGATTGTCATGTTTGGGGTAGATAATGCTCCAAGTCTTTGGACACATCCGTTTGGCAGACCTTGCTTAGGCTGAGATAGGTACTTCAACTTTTTAGATGTTATTTTAGTTATTTTTTCGTGAATGCTGATTCATGCTGATTCACTGATACATCCGTGTTGACCAGCTAGATTCTCAATGCCCCAAGCCGGGTCGGCGTCTGAATGCTTCGCTAAGGACCGTAAGAAGACCAAGAACATCAAACACAGCGGAAATCTCACCAAGAATGTGCCTTGACTTCAGATCTCATAGGCCATTCTGAGACACGGCACCCTCTACCATTCTGGGATCTTGATGTGTGTTCCCTAGCTGTTTAGCAGTTTTCAAACACAAGAGAGAACTTGGGAAGAGCATTTTTCAATGCCTCAGAGCACTGCTGTGATAGCCACTATTCCCAAGAAAAGTCCAAGGGTGTCATTCAACGGATCCACGGAATGTCTTTGCATTCCTGGAAAGCCCTGGGAGGATCGTAGAGCTCTCATATTGATTAGTTGGGATCTATGATGAAAGCGATCGAAACCACGTGATTCCAGGGGAGTAGAGAATGGTAGAGGCAGAAAAGCTACCTGGGCTCAGTGAGGCACCTTGATTTTCAATATCAATATGTGTCAATGCTTTGCATCATGTTTATTCATGTTTCCCATAGTTTTTCATGAACAAAAATGCCATTCTGGTTGGGCCAATTCTAAGACACAGTCACACCTTTTGATCTGTTTGCTTTGACTCAGCATTTTCCAGGTCTTCCTGGATATTTGCCGCCAGATGAGAAAGAAGAGCTTGGCCAAGGATGATCACTGGGCAGCCGAGAAACCCCTGAATTGCCTGGCGACAAATGGGTCATTTGTCGCGACAACTAGCAACGGATTCACATTGGAGAAGTCTTGCAGTAAAATGTTGTAGCATTTTTGCACCAGGTGTCAGCGAGGCTAGACTCGTGGCTTCAATTCTTCTTCGAGGTTCCATCAATTGACGTTCTGGAGATAGGCTGAAACCAATGTGTTTATGCACCAGGTTTTGCTTTAAAGCTGGATTGCTTTCCCATGAAATTCTGCATCAATCATTCATTCTGATACCCTCTGGTAATAATGGAAGATTGCTATTTCAAAAGGCAAATCAATCACACCTATAGACATTTTCCAGCCGCCACGCTTGATCAATAGAGTGCATGCAATTAGGATGATTATTGAGGAAAGGGTTGATGAAGAACAGAAGAAGGAGTAGCACTGACCTGTTCTTGATGATATGGCATATTGGGTACCTATGGAGACATAGATGTAGGGTTGACTTCAAAGGGCATCGGCATATTTAATATCTAAACACTATGGATCACTGTGGGCTTTCCTTGTGTGAATATACGAGCCATACTCAGGCGGGTGCGAAGCATGACATTTCACGATACAATCTTCAGAATCACGCGGTTGATAAAGAATCCATCCAAAGTTGACTGCTGGGCCTCTTCTCCCTTTGGGGGGGTTTTTGTGGCCGAGGCGAGTAGCTTTTGTTTTCATTGCGGTTTAGGGTTGCAGGCAAACAGATCAATCAGATCGGTGTTCCCAGTGAAAAACACGGAAAAAAACACATGGAACAAAACAAGGCTCCAGGTTTGACATGTTTTTGTTTCTGCATCCTACCTTTTTTTGGGGGTTTGGATCCTTCCAAGATCCCACCCACCAGGGACCGCCAACCCGGCACCAGGAGTTCAAGGGCAAGGCCAAGGAGATCTTGGGCACCTGCTTCGCGGTGGGTTGCACCGTGGACGGCCAGAAGCCTGGTGCCTTGCAGCAGGCACGTTGCCAGTGCCGCAGTGGTGCCTATAGATCTCTGGTTGGTGGTTTTGGAACATGTTTTCCCATATATTGGGAATAGTAACCCCGACTAATATTTTTCAGGGGTTGAAGCCACCAACCAGATCTATGGAATATGATCGGGATCTGGATGAATGGATATTGATGGATATATTGAACATCCCACATTTTAATGCTGGCTAAAAGGGGAGAAAAAAACATCTATGACATTCAATGAACGGGATTGAACCTCCTACTTTCTGAATGTGGGGTTGAAGGGGAAAAACTCAAAAACCATTTGTAACTGGGATTTTTTGTCCATTGCCACGTTTGATTACTAAATAGCGGGAGGGTATATCATGACATTATACCCACATATATCCAAATGTTGAGCAACGTTTGGTGAGAAAAACGGATTTTGTTCTATGCGATTAGGATTTTGATGGTGGTTAGCCCTCAACTTCTCCAACTCCCGCTAGGCCATTGACGAGGACGAGTGGGAGCTTCCAACTGAGTGAGCTGCAGAACCAGCAGCCGCGACAGCGACAGCGACGGCGGGGAGAAAGCTGAGATTGCTTGGGGGGTGAGGAAGCCGTGCAGCGCTTGGCAATTAAACATGGCAATGGGAGATCCCCTCATGTGGCAACTAAACCCAATGCCACAAACATCCATAAACCATCCCCAATGTATTAAATGGTTAGTAAAACCCATGCCCAAATGGGTTTGCCATTGGGTTTACCACTGCAGTGTTACTGTATAATTTAATGGAGGTTTCAATGGAAAAATCCTTGGCATAAATAAGGGAATAATGAGAGATTTTCCAGCCATGTCACTCACTGGAACTAACCATGGCCGTGAGGTTGGGTGCAATTGCTTCGTAAGTCCTTTGGTTGTTTTTGAACAAATTCCCATGGAAAATCACAATATTTTTGCACGGGTAATTACATCGTTATATATTTACCCTCTGGTTATTTAACATAGCCATGGAAAATCACCATTTTTAATAGGTAAACCATCTATAAATGGGCCATTTTCCATGGCTATGTTAAATAACCAGAGGGTATCCTTTGTTTCTATGGGCCCTGGCTTCCGCTATGTTAAAGAACCCGTCAACCGAGCCCTGACCAAACCTGACCAAGCCATCAAGGTGAAGCCACTTGTGTGTCTAAACACCAATCAACACCATTGCTGCTTTGGTTTTGTGCATCATCTGCTGGTTGGTGGTTTGGAACATTTTCGAACATTTTTTCCATATATTGGGAATAATATATGGTATGTCATCCTTCCCATTGACTTTCACTCATATTTTTCAAGATGGTTAAAACATGTCAAAACATGTTAAAACCACCAAGCAGATTGGATCCCCATGCCACGACCTGAGGATACGCGAGGACCCAAAGGAAGCCTTGGGGGAGAAGAGCCGAATCCGTTTAACCCAACCAGGTGGGGATCCACTTTTTGTGCTGCGAATGCTGCTTGGATCATCCATGAAAACATGGTGAAAACCTGTCAGGACCTGATGAATCATGTGAACATCATGATGCTTTCATGATGCTTCATACTGTGGATGGAAGAAATCCTGCACCACCTGGGATGGTAGAAAGCCTATAAATAATGGGATAAACCACCTATTAACTTGTGCAGGATTTCTTCCATCCACAAGTAGCAGGCTTCACTTGCGTTTGTATACATCTTAGATCGTACCTGGTATTAATGAGTATTATGTGATGATGCTCGTTTCACAACAAAAACGCCATTCAAGCTTACATTTTGGGGCCGTCAATATTTTGACCCATTTACATGTTGGATCAGATGTGTACCCAAAATTACTCAAATCTAGGATTCCGACTTTAGCGCCATATTTTTTGCCATCATTTCGCCATCCATTCGAATCAACCTCCACATGTTGCGGGGCAGGTGGTTTGCGGTGTATCGCCCCTGCAGCTCAGACTCCATCCGCAAGATGTATGGAAAGGCAGTTGCGGTTCAGCGTTTGCCATAATTAGTTGATGATCTATACGTATGTCAGCTATATAAAGCAATAGGATTCACCATCCCCAGCACCATTGTCATGGGTTATCAAAATGTATCGAAATGTGGGTTGTGACATTGCTTTATGAAGAAATTGCTAGGTATCTAGCCGTTGACATTTCCGAAGAGAACCGTTTCATCTTCATGTTGGCCAGGTCGGGGTAGGCAAGGGCCTGAATGTGAAAGGAAAGTCTGGAGCCTCGGAGAGCGAAACTGGAGAAAATCGGTGGTTCGGACTACGGGATCTGAATCGTGTTTACCATCCAACAATCAAACATAGCACTTGAAAATCCCGTATAAATAGAGGTTTTGATGGGAAAATCGGCTATAAGTGATGGATTCTCCATTGCCATGTTACTGGAGGATATGCATAAGATCTTATTTGGGGTGGGGAGCCGCAATGACATTCCTAGTTTTCAAGGGATTTGGGGGTGGGGTAGCCCAACCTCAGAAAAGAACATTTTGAATGGTGAACAGCCCATTCAGGACCTCAGTTGTACAGACCAGGTCTAGGATTCTAGGAATACGGCGATCTGACTTCGAAACATTTGCTCGGTGCTATCAACATGGAATTGTCATGAAGTGTCATTCAATGTCATTCCCAAATTTGGGGATTATATATACAATATATATATATATATACATGGATGATTCTATCTCCATCGCCATTTTCATTGATTCCCTAAGCGTATGACATTTTCCCTATCCCAGATAGCCCCTTTCTGCCTGCCCTGCTGCACAGGTCGGCCAAGAAGAACCGACTCTCCGGCTTCGTGCCCTTCATCCAGATCAGCTCCATGGCTTGCTGGAAAATCCATGGAATATCCATCGTTTAGTTCCTGGCTTTTACCCTCTGGTAAACTAACATAGCTATTGAAAATGGCCATTTATAGTGGATTTACCCATTGAAAATGGTGATTTTCAATAGCTATGTTAAATTACCATCGTTTATTTCCTGGCTTTTACCATATTTTACCACAACCTCCAATGGCGCCATTGGGGATGTTCAAGTGCTATGTTGACACCGGAGGCTATATGGGAGATGGGTGGAAGTCCCAAGGATTGGTTCTCACATAGTGCAGAAATGATGAGCAGTTGGATAGAATTTATTGGAAGGATGGCTTGAAACTATACCAGCAAGGCTTGCAGATTTTGATCAAAAACAAAAACACCCCCAGCCAATGGACCATCGAGGTGACAACAAGCACAAGAACGATGTGGAGGCACCCTATAGCAGCCGCTGGTGTCGGACAAAGTTTTTTTTTCCCTTTTTAATGAGACTGGAAACATAAAGCGGGCCAACAATGTACATAGATTACATACCATTTCTATCCATTTTCTATCCATTTGTAATTTGTAGAAAACATGTCCGCTGCAAGCCGGTTCCACTGGTTCCATCAGTGTGTGACATGGTCCTTGATCCCGAATTGCGAAAGTTCCGGGTGATAACCAGATTTTTTTTGCGAAGGGCCCATGGAGAAATGGATTTCTCCCTTGGATGAATAGTATGGTTTTACCATGTTTTACCGTGTTACCTAGAAATCAAGGAGAGACACTGAAGAATGCAGAGTACTCATCCACCTGAAATATGTTAAGTTATGTTTTTTTGCTGCAAATGCGGTTTTCTGCCGTATTTGGTACCCAGCCAGGAGGCTCCTAAGGACGCGCGGACTAAGATCTTTTTTAGGAGCCGAATCGTCGCACCGTGGGGTGAGTTTCAGCCGTGGTAAATATCGGTAGATGCGTTCGTATGTCAGTATGGGCAACGTATGACCATGGAATGATGATGAATGATGAATGGGTTGAGCTTCCGGAATCTTTATGGTCATGATACATCACTGAAAAAGGGATATGGAAACAAAATAAACTGGTTGGTGGTTTCAAACATTTTTTATTTTCCATAATATATGGGATGTCATCCTTCCCATTGACTTTCGTATTTTTCAAGATGGTTATTGCACCACCAACCAGTATAAATAAGGGGGCTTTTCGATTGCCATGTTTCATTTCCAGAGGGTCCGGAGGGTAAACCATCCATAGATGGTCATGATATATCACCATGATTCATAGAATTGGATGATGGGAAAATTTTAACCGGAAAACCCTATATTTGATGGTAAAAACCATGGTTTCCTGTAGATTTTCCCTTAAACCAATCCATTGAATGATATAAAAAATAAAACCAACAACTTCTTCTGGTCGCCACAGGAATCGGTTGGCGCGAGAACAGGCCTCGAAATCCTTGGACAAAGTTCTGAAGGAGGACTGACGTGGACGGCACGGGCTGCCCGGGCTGGGGGTTTCCTGAACGGGTTGAGAGTTTTGTTCAAAGAAAAAATGGGAAACATGTCACATGACCTTCCAAAAATCATCAAAATATCAATCCATGATTCAAGATGTGATATTATAGGACATCAATAGATCTACAACATATTATATAAAAGGCTCCATCATATCATCTTTGCAAGGGTTGATAATTCCTCTCGATTTCAGAGAGGCCCGTCCTTCCGACGAATAATCAGATGGGGGATAGGGTTTCAAGAAATGGAACCAGACAGGTCCCCCAGTCATGGTGAACTTTTTTGGCTTTCCCCTGGCTTTCGAACCGGAGGCGTCCCTAAAGATCGATGATCCAACCATCAAAATCATCGCAGATTACGAGCCTTGCGTTGCTGGGGGACAGTGGGGTGAACTCCAAACTAATGGAGGGTGGAAAAAGCGACCGGATGAATTGGCACAAACAAATCAAGGTATCTAAAATGGCCATTTACAGTTGATTTACCCATTAAACATGGTGATTTTCCATAGTTATGTTGGTTTATCAGAGGGTAAGATTTGCAATGATAACATGAAATGATATGAACACATCATAAGACATCCATTGATGGAAAGATATGGAAGGGCGATCTATACCACAGGATACCGCAGGATCATCGTCCATCTATGGACGGTTTACCTACTGAATCATGGTGGATTTTCCATCGATTTTCCATAGCTACATGAAAAATCACCAGTGGGTTTTTGAGGTCATTGTACTGTTTTTGAATATTCACCATACCTGTTTGACACGTTCTCATATCATGTTTGTTCCTAGTTATACAATAAGATCCATTTGGAAATTTTCTTTCCAAAACATATGCTCTTGGGTTTTTGTTTGTTTTACCACAGGCATAGGACATTGACTGGCTGATTTGAACGGACTTTTTTTCCCCTCCAGGTAGCGATCAAACATGGAAGCCACACTGTGATCATGACGCCAAAAGTTTTTGTTTGCTGGTATCAGTATCATGTCATGGCAATTTTGCACTAGCACTCAAGACTCAAGGGTCCAAATAGCTCAGGAACCGCAAAGCTTCGGCTTGGATGCCCCTCGGCAGAATCAATCTGTTTTGAAGCTTTGGTGTTTAGATCAAGAATTTGAAACATGACAATATAGGGATTCAGGCGCAAACAATTGTGGAATCCGAGAACTCAAACCATACCTGACTGGTGCTATCAGATTTGTTTGCTTTCCTCTTTGTTCAATTTTTACCAAAAAAGTGTATGTATATATATATATATATAGTGATCCCCAATGACCTGTTTTGTCTCAAGGGGTGACCATCAGCTGGTGATTTTGCATGGGGATGGACCAGCCAACGAATGATGACCGGATCTTCGGACTATCTGTGGTATTCGTTCATATCCAGATGATCTCAGATGGGAAACAAAATCATGCAAAAAATCCACATGTCAGAATATCAAATGCTATCAGAAAAGCTGTTTGACACATCTGTTCATACCGAGCTGTGAATCCAGAGGTTAACTGGAACGGTTTAAGGGGGCTCACAGCTTTGAGGTCCCTGAGCCTTTGATGAAGGAGGCGTACATCATGAGACCCGAGCTGTCCCCCATGGTTGGTTCGGGCCCTTGGAGGAAGGCTTTGGATGAGGCTGTGGTTTGAAAATATGGTATTTTCCCCCAAAAATGGCAATTTCATTGGGAAAATGGATGAACACGGATGGAGAGAGAGATAAATACTTAGTATTAGGGACACATCAAGTGGGTCACAGTGAAGGCATGTGCTGAAGGATCCACCCCCTTTCCTGCTGTTTGTTTGTCACATTTTGTCACCATTTCCTCCAGAATCTAAAAATTCAATATCTAGAGAAAAGGAACAAACGCAACATATTTATATCAATCTTTGAATTTCACATATCCCAGAATATATTACATATATATATATATATTAATTCTGATGCAACCCAAGCCGTTTGTTTGGTTGAAGGTTGGGAGACAGGGCGCCAATCTGAACCGGCCTTCATGGCACCTTGGTTGCTGAAGCAACCGCGCACCGTGTTTCCTGGGAAGCGGCTGATGAACGGGATTTACACTATAAATGGGGATACAATGGGGATAAACCAATAAACTATAGACCTGGAGACATTGATCATGGGGATATAACGGGTATATCTATCCATCTATCTATCTACCTATCTATCTATCTATCTACCTATCTATCTATCTCACTATCTATATATATATATATAAATATATATATATATATAGATAGATAGATAGTGTGTGATTTAAGAGCGACTTAATGGGACTTAATATGACTCAATGGCTTCATCTGGATGAATTTGATCATGACCTCACCGTGACGTCACTGAATGGGATTAGGATGCAGGGAATCCTCCCGAATGGCTTGTAGATCATGGCAGCCAGAAAAATCGACGTAATTCCCATGTAATTCTCATGATTTACTTTTTTCAGATTTATGATTGCCATATATTGCCATCAATCATGGGGATATCACAAGCAAAACTCGGGATTCTGCTGGAAATGATGGTTTCACGATCATAAATGCCAGGATTCCACACTCCAAATCAGCAACTTTCGATTTTTTTTGGTAACGCTATGAGAAGCCATATCACATCCAGTTCAATGATTTACCCTCCAGATCCAGTAAATTAACTATAGACCCTGGCAGTCACCGGATTTGTTTCAGACTTTCCACTAAAAATCGATCATTTTCAGGGTCAAAGTCTGAAACATAACCATTTTGGGTACCTCGCATGGCCTGGCCTTGACGCTTTCACGCGCCATCCTGGAGCCCAGGACATGAATTTGCATTCCACCAGGGAGTCTTCAACCCCTGCAGCTTGATTGAAACTGCTGTTCCATGGGGAAAACTATGGGAACAACATATGAAAGTGTCAATTGTTGAGTAGGACATGTCCACAGTTGTTTTTTTTTAGCGGGTTTACATGTCCAGTGATGTCTATATGTAGCTGGTTACATGCTGTTGGCCGCATATGCCATGTTTTTACCGAGTTTAAGATTCTGATAAGCACTGGGTTAGTTTAAGGGAACATCTTTACTGGAAACCATGTTTTGTTTACCATTATAGAGGGTTCCGCTGAAGATTTCCGGTCAAAAACCAATCTCATGAGATGGTCGTGATGAAGTTTCCACACCTCAGACCCTCGATGTTTTCATCACGAGAATCCCTTCACCCTGCGAATCTGGATTTGTTTCTATTTAATGACATGAATTAGGATGGGATTGGATGGGAATATATTGATGTCATGAAGATTTGCCATCAAAAATGGCGAACGGTTTTTACCTCCTGTTTTTGTTCTCAGGAGGTGGTGTTGTATCAGTATGACCTCGCAGATCCCATGAATCCTTTGGGCCTCTTAGTGGCTTATGCTGAAGCCCACGTTCTTCCAGTGTCTTGGCCTTTTTTTGACGACTATCCGATGTGTTGGAGCTGGGGTATCCATGTGTGTATATATATATATACACATATATATATACATATATATATATACATATATATATATATATACATATATATATATATATACATACATATATATATATATATACATGTATCCCCTAATTATATATAGGGAGCCAGTTGGAGCTGTCCCAGGTGATAGGAACTGCTGCACTGCACACTTTTCCGAGGTCGTGAGTGACTTTGATACCTTTCTGGTGGGTAGCATGGGGATGGAATACAGCCCTTTACCCAAGGATCAGCAGGACCTTTGGGTAAAGCATCCTGGGACCACTGGATATTTTGGGGGGTGAGACCCTTTTTCAGATCAAAACTGGTTGCATTACTCATGACATGCTAACCTTCAATGAGTACTTTATTTGTTGCTTCGGCTACAATATTTGATCCTGCTTGTGGATGGATCAGAATTCAGCACCGCCAAATTGGGCGGATTTTTGATGGTCACGTATTCGTAGTATAGTCGTAGTTAAAGATATGTATTGTTTTTTTGACCATATCTGGGTTATGATGTCCACTCACTTTGTTAATGTCAAGAGCGTTACCATGAAATTTGTCACCTCAGTCCGTTCCCAAGTCAGGATTTGGATGGTTGAAACCATGGTGATTTTATACCCAAATATATGTATACATATTCAATAATATATATATACTTACATTTATATACATATACATACACCACATATATCTATCTATATGTACAATACTTATTTATTCATTGATTTATGTATCTATGTATTCATTTTCTTTGAAGCGGCACCCATACGCTCCGGTCCTCCAGGAGTTGATGCAGTGGTGTCTCGACCACACGGCGGACATCATCGGAATGCCTCAACGGAAGAGCTGGACCACCAGGTGGTTGGAGGCCGCGTCCTGGCGATCGAAGATATCGTTGCGTCCTGAAATCGTTGCGGAGAGATATGTGACAAACCCCCCAAAAATGTGTGGTTCCTAGGAATGTTGAGTGATGTTAGTAGAGGATAACAGCTGGTTGGTGACTGGAACCATGGAATTTTGAATGACTTTCCCATCATGTTGGGAATTTAATCATCCCAACTGACGAAGGAAAATATTTTTCAGAGGGGTAGGTATACTCAACGACCAACCAGATAATTAATCATCATCAACCACCATTAACCACCATTAACCATCATTAACCACCATCAGAGGGGTAGGGATCAACCACCAACCACCCTTGTGTTGGGAGAGTTTCAGGACTCTTTCAGGACTCCACGGGGCCGACAAGAAGGCCATCTCAAACTCTGATTACACACTGCTCCACCATATATGTAGCATAATTATTTACATACGTGTATTTGTATATATTTATATTGTATATATGTATGGGTTCTATATATATATATATACGTGCGTGTGTTTTTTTTTTAAAAGTATTCCATGTTTCCACTATGCCATTGCTTTCCCATGATTTGCATGTGTTGTTTTCCCATGGATTTCTGTCAGGTGCTCAAAGATGAAGCCAGCATGAAAGGCGCGGTTGCCATGGATGGGCTAAGCTTAAAAGATAAGACACCCTGGTGCCATAAACAGTTGGAAATATGTCCAAAAAAGATGCTAATTTCAGTGAATCGTCACACTATTTCTGGGGATTTACTGTTCTACCTGGCTATGACTAATGAACTATGCGACCTTTCAACCATGGGCGCCATGGGCTCGACATTGCCTGACATAACATATCCTAGCCGGTTATCCAGATGCTAAAGCCGGGAAATCTCTGTGTTACTCGGGGAAAAGACATGTAGACAATCATGTTATAATGGTGGGTATAACAACAATAAACCATCCCCAAGTTCACCATAAATAGTTGGTATAAACATGTATAAACCATTCCCAAATGGGTGGTTTATGACATTGCTTTACCCACATTAATGGTGGAAACGATATTCCACTTGGGTTACTGGAGGCCATATCCAAATTCAAGGCCCAGGATCATGGGGATTGCTGTTTTTTTGATCTCGTGCTTGAAGGGTACATTCCAACATGGGCACTTGCTGCCTTGATATGCCCTGATATGCCTTGATACCTGGTGGTATACCCCTTCTTAGTATCCGTTCAACTGGGCCCCTTTGCAACTTGAGGATAGCTATCTTCCAAGTGGGCTGAACATGGTGAACCAGAAGCTCATTTTTTCATGGCTTGGATTTTAGACGTCACTTTGACATGGGTTGAGTGATGTTCAAGGTGGACCTGGATCACCAAGCAGCCTATGAGAACCCCCCAACAACCCCAAGAAGATTGTCATTCAAAGCTCACTTACCATCCCCCCAGTTGACATAGACCCTGCCAAATGGATCTGGGTCTACGTGAATTTGGGGGATGATCAACCCCAGAATTGCCCAGCCCCTGGTTTTCAAAGGTGATCAAAATGATATCGCATGGTCAGTACCTCGCTTAGGCCTACGTTTTCCTCGCTTAGGCCTACGTTTTGGCTCGCTTAGACCCACGTCACAGATACATGATGAATCATGATGATATTTGCAATAGAAGGACATATTCATATATCAGAATATGATTTCGATCCACTGCTCATCGGGACATTCAGGACTTAGTTCTGATTCAGTTACCTGAAATGCATTCTATTCTCATTCACAGGTGGACCCGACAGGTGTGTACCCAATGGAGCCTACATAGTATATACATACATTCATACATGCATGCATATATATATATATATTATATATACATATATGTATACACTCTCCGCTAATTTAACGTAGCTATTGAACATGGCCCATAGAAATCGTGGATTTCCCTATCAACAATTTGTTTACCAGGCCCAGTGGCCCCCTCCGTCCCAGCGGTCCCAGTGGTCCCAGGCAAGACGGTGGAGATCCCGAAGCTGGGCTTCGGCGACCCCACGAGCGTGAAGCTCATTGGGGATGCCCCTTGGAGATTCGCCGATGGATTGATCGGATCTGTGAGGTGTCACCCGGTCACCATATTCCCGTTTCGGGAATTTAGATCAACTGGTTACTGAGGATATGGGGATACAATGAGTATAGAATGATTTAATAGGATCGATTCAATGGTGATTTAATGGTGATTTAATGGTGATTTAATGGTGATTCAATGGTGATTTAATGGTGATTAACCCTCTGGTAATGGAATATGAATGGCTGATTGGTGGTTTCACACATTTTGTAGTTTCCATAATATATGGGATGTCATCCTTCCCATTGACTTTCATATTTTTCAAGATGGTTGAAACCACCAACCAGATATAATAAGGATTTATAGGGACTTCATGGGATTTATAGGAATAAAATGGTGATTTTTAGGGATTTCAAGGAATAAACTAGGGATCTCATTGGAATGTCATTGGAAATCATATAGGTTCATATGAGTGATTTGGGGATTTCACTTAAGTCATTGGGTCCCCAAGCCACACTACATGGTCATCCATGACTTGGATGATGTGGGGGTATCCCCATGACTCAGGAAACGCCTTCTGTTATGGATATAACGGGAGGATCGTGGGGATATCATGGGATATATGAATTATACAACTCATATAACCAACAAATTGGGATGAATTAGACAAGATGGTGGATGAAATATGATGGCCGCAAGTTTCCGAAATTCTCAGATTGGTGACTCACAATAGAATTCAACCAGATTGGGATGGATGAGATCTCTGGATGAATTTGATCATGACCTCACGTCGCCACCGTCACGTCAGAATGATGCGAATGGGATTCGGAAAAAAAACAGTCTCATAGCTGGCCTTACTTCAGCTATTTTCAGATTCATCAGTGAATTTCAGTATATAAATATACATTTGATAGAGATGAATATTTTCGGTTAACACTTGGGGATCATCCTAGTAAAATAACTGCTTGGTACCAACGGGTAGTGGGGTTAAAACAGCAGTGAGTCTGGTCCCGCTGCCAGATGAAGATATTACCCTCAAGGTCCTTAAGTCATATGCTATTCCTGAAGAATAGATCATACAACATCATACACCCATTGTATATATGTATATATATTGATTTAATATTGTGTTTCCTTCGGAGAAAAAAAAAGCTTCGGAAAATCCCCAGTCGTCACTGAGTCGTCACCATGGTGTGTTTCACTACGAAACTGCTTTTCAAGGTGGTGAAGGTCACTGAATCCTGTGGCGCCATTCGCCACGGTGCCGAGTGCTTCAACTTCTACTTCCCCCAGGCATCCAGTACGGCGGAGCGATGCATCCGATGCAGTTCCCTAAAGTGGCGGGCCCAACGGCCCATGGCGAAGTCGCGGATGTTTTGGTGATCTATTTTAGGATTTCTGGGGAAGAAAAAGTATGTAAAACTTAGACACCGCCTCAGGTCCCAGCTTCTTTTTGTTTCCCAATGGTGTTATTTGATTCAGTTGCGGGTACCGATTATGGTAAAGTCATCAACAAACAAACGGAAGCAAATGCCTGTTAATGAATTGAGGATTCCCTGCGTCAGAAATAGTTGTTCGGAACACCGCCATATGAATCCTGGTTGGTGGTTGGAACCATGGAATTTTATGGCTTTCCATTCAGTAATTTCATCATCCCAACTGACAAACTCACTCCATCATTTTTCAGAGGGGTTGGGCTCAACCACCAACCAGGTTTAAATGGTAAAATAGTTGGGAATTATTCAACAATTACAAAGGATTTGCCGTAGTTATAGGTTTTCTCCTTGTCTTCATCCTTGTCTTCGGTATATTTTATATTTCCATCCATCCATCCAAAATGGGTAGGTATACCACCAACCACTTTCTATTTCTAGCTGTTCCAGCTAGGACTGCAGGTCGTAAAATGAACCCAGTGAATCCCAGAAATTACTGGTTGAATCCTTCCCAAAATGGCGGGTGGTTTCATTGTCATTGTCATCATTATTTATGTTGTTATCATTATAATTGTAAGTTGTATATAATTATTGATCATTAATTAATAATGACGATAAATTACTATTGTTATCATGATTTTATATTAATATAGAATATAGAATGATAGTTATTATTACCATTACCCATAGGATCCATGTCTGGTATATATGCTGACATTGGGGGTATATTGATGGACATGTTGCCATATATAGCATACATGGATCCTATGGGTTATAGCTACTGTGGACACAATTATTGTGAAGGAGAGACATGTTCCATGTCCTTCTTTGGGGGATGATGAATATGATGACTGGCAGGAGCTGGACGACGAGTTCATGGTGGTGTGGGATGGCTACCCTGTGCCCCAGTCTGCTAGTGGCCAGAGTTTAATGTGTAGAGAGTAACCCCAAAACCAGCCATAAATGGGATATATTCAGGATTTGTTATGGATGTAACGGGATAGTTTTATCAACAGGATATATATATATATATATATGTACATATGTAGATGTATTTTGACCAGTTAGCCACCACAATGACCACAAAAACAGGGACTTGACCAACGGTATCAAGAGATTTGGCCAGCAATTAGCTGTGGTTGAGGATATACTGGGATATATTGGGATATGGGTAAGAAACATGATATTTGGATGTTTTGTTTGAGGGCCACCCCCAGGCAAGGTTTATGCAGAAAATGACGATGGTCCATGGTGACCATGGGATTGTGGGCCGGTTGGAACTGGTCAGTTTGGGGTTACCGTGTTCCATACGACTTTAACGATGCCCCCACCGGAACCGATCCATGCCACTTTTTCAGTTTGCTCCAAGTGGGCAACCAAAATTTACCGTTGAGTGGTTGTGCAACCACTAATGGATGCTGGGAAAAACAGTTTGCAAGGTGCTTACAGGAGCTAGACACCCACTTTTGGTATGAAACATCAGGAAGACTCCCGTAGCATTTTGGTTTGTTTGGTATTCTTCGATCCTAAAAGTTACTCACCGACTCACAACATGTTTTTTTTCTGCATCCCAAGGCATCAGATCATCATTTCCACAAGGTGGATCAGCCAAGAACAGCTTGAAACAATCAGGAAAGAATGAGAACATGGATGAAGAAGAAAACATCCAGTCAATTGCTGACATCGTTTTACAAAATATGGACACATCATCCACAACATGGGAAAATGATGGGAAAATGCAGGGATCTTGGAGAAGTTGAGGATCTTGGCCTCTTGGCTTTCGCCGCTACGCCGCTGAGGATCCTCCCTGGAAGATTTTAAAGGAACCCGACCTTCGAAGCTTTCTGAAGGCGCGGGACCTGACATAACGACGGATCGGATCCAGTGAAAAATGGGGTTCCAGTTCCCAGTTCGCAGTTCCCAGCTGTTCAAATCTTCCAGGGGCAAAAGCATGGCAAACCAAAGTCATGGGGGTACCCCAATAGCATCCAATAGCTGGATGGTTTAATTTCATAGAAAATCCCGCATAAAAATGAATGATTTGGGGGATCCCCCTAGGAAACCTCCATATGTTCCCTTCTCAGATCGGACATCCGCCCCTTCTGTGAGGCCAGAGCCAAGGAAGGCTACTGCTTCCCATTGAATCCCGTGTGGCCGGTTTCTTGGCCCCGATTTTCGGCCAAGGCTGGTGTGAAAATCTGGGGAAACAGTCCCAAACATCGGCAATGTATTCCATGATTTATATTGAGATATCAGATGGATCAGATGAATCATGGAATTAGATTATTGATTGATTGATCGGATTTCTTCAGAATCAGAATTTCGAAATTGGGATACCCTCTGGTAATTTAACATAGCTATTGAACATGGCCATAGAAATAGTGAGTTTTCCCATTAAACATGGTGATTTTCCATAGTTATGTTAGTTTACCAGAGGGTAAGTCATCATAAGCCTACTGTATTTTCATACGCATGTCGATCATGACACAGGCGTATAACATCGTATAACCCTCCAATCTGTCACAACCAGCGCGCTGAGATCCGAGACAGGGGCTGGTACGAGGCGCGTCAGCGCGGCACTGCGAGAAGGATCTTGAGATTTTGCCATGGCCCATGGGTAGAAAATCAATGAACACACCCTTTAAATTTGGTAATTTAATATACTGTAGCTATTGAAAATACCCCATGGGTGGTTGATCTACATATTCAAAATTGTGATTTTCTACAGCTATGTTAGTTTTACCAGAGGGTAATGGATGGATTGATGTCATTTTGACACATTTTGGAAGCAACGATGTAGAAAGATATAATCCATTGCTCGACAACATTGAGAATGATTATCCACTGCTTCGCTACACATATCACAAGTTCGGCAATTCGATACAGTCTGTGCCATGGGCTGATTAGTGGGTAGTTATCCCCACCGTTGGGTACGTTGTTTGGATTTGGCCAGCCTGCAACGTCGTAGAAAGTTCCCGCAAATGATCCGCAGAATATCTAGAAATCATCCATTGAACATCTCCACACGGATTGGATGACGGGACGAGTTGAAAAAGGAGAGACCCCTTATCTTTAGAATTCGTAAGTGGTGTAAACATGGCGTAAAACCTATGGGTTTTACACCATGTTTGCCATCAGATCCAACATGATCCTTAACTGACCAGCGCTTCAGCTTTGGGAAGGTCCTGGCTAGCCTCAGAAAGAGCCCCGTTGAGTTGAATCAGAGGTCTTTAGGAGGACGGCGCGGCTTTGGGGGTGGAACAGGAACTCATCGAGATGATTTAAGGGGATGGTGGTTAGATTTGATGTATACCCTCTGGTAAACATACAAAAAGCTATGGAAAATGACAATTTATAGTGGATTTTCCCCATTAAAAATGGTGATTTTCCATAGCTATGTTAAATTACCAGAGGGTACTTGCAAACAAGATAGAACAGCAAAGTATTAATTTATTAATGATCTCTATTTTGGATTTGCCTTTTCTATCTGTGGATTTGACTTTTCTATTACTATTTGGAAGGGATTTGACTGTTCTATCTTTTTTGGGGCTGGGGTTGCTAAATGTGTTTAATGTTG